CATTGTTCGGCATGAACAAAAGAGGACCTACTTTTTCAAGCATATGAAAATCGAAACTGTCATGCTTTTCTAAAGGTATCACATTCCTGGATGTTTACTACCTGTCACACTAATGAAGTAAATAAAAAATCCTTATGGTGTGAAATAATACATTAGTATGCAAAGAACACATCCCTCTGACTTTAAATAAGCGTAATTGTTTAAAGTCAGGTATGTTAATGCGAATAATCATTGCAATTTCTGCTCATTTTAACTGTCAGTGGCCACAACAGCCTGTGAAAACATGAGGTAACAATTTAGCTTTTGAATCACTCCTTTCTGAAGGAGGATCTTGTTGAAAGAAAAACAACCGGGGACGCTGGTCCTAAAACATGTCTTTTCAAAAGCACTAACTGGCTATTTTCGAAAATAATTTTGGACTTTCTGCACGCAGAAACCGCAGAATAATTATGATAGCATTGGACGGAATTATTCAGAAATGACTCAATCTTGAGTGCCTGTCATCTGAAAAATGGTTTTGAGCATTTCTGGTAAAATCACTGCTCTTTGCAAAAATATTAACACACATACGCATAACTGACTTATTATGACATGAAAAAAAAGATTTGAGCATCGAGTATTGTCTCCATTTAATGATACAGCAATATAAAATCGGGGTCGGGCTATGGATCTCCTGAGACAATTTATGTCCATCAACAAAAAGCCTCTCTTGGTGAAGATCGTGTTTCATGAGGGATGGCCTATTTTCTGTGAAAAAGTGTTCCATTGCAATCATTGCGATGGCACTGCTTACTGTATAAATGACTTTTACAGCAAAAACTGTAAAACATGACTGATAATCTCACTGACCTACTGTCGTCCTATCATTCTGGGGATTTTTGTTTTTATAAAACTTTCCTCAGGTACGATAGCAGGAGAGTGAAAAAACACAGCAGGCTTGTGATCCTGCAGCCTGGCCCGTCTTCGTCTAATCACAGTGGAATGTGGCCACCTCTGCGCCTCCTGCTTTGTGTAAGGAATCAAAGGGAAAATGGATGGCCTTGCATTAGTACATCACCCATGGCCAACAGAATGATGAGACCGATTTGGCTGTATGTCATATCTTTCACTTCACTGCTTTCCCATTTCAGTTTATGTAATGGCTACAAATTATGGCTACAAATTATGGCCACAAACCCTGGAAACACTGTCTAGGGATGTGATCTCGAAAAGTAACTGTTATAATTGCTTGTGTGCCCTCCAAGTAGAAAAAAAAAACAACCTAAACCGTTAAAATATCTTGTCATGGCGCTGAAATGCAGGCAGATGAGAATACGACCACAGGGAAAACAAAGAGCAGCTTTGAGGATAGCATTCAGAGTGTAACCGAACAAAGCACGCAGTCCTCTTCATATACACGCTTGCGTCAGGCTAAAACTAAACGCGTCTTTCTTTCTTCTTTTTTTACGCCAATCTATACCAGAAAGAAACAGAGAGCATGTCCATTAGTGCATATTGTTGGCCTACAGCTGTCATGAAAATGGTTCTCACTGCATTGGTGGTAATTTGGCCCTGGTTGCAAACCTCCTGAAGCATTATCACTCAGAAGAAACAAAAGAGTGGGACATGCGGGGCTCTCTCAGCTCCCATCCGGCAGCAGCATTTAAAGACGTGTTCATCTCCAAAGTCAGCTAGGCCTTTTGTTTAAGCCCCTGCCAGACAAAGGTCTCCTCTTCTTGCCTAGTTTTAATACACATGGAAGGAGGGGGGTAAGTGTGGCGGGGGACTCTCAGAAATAAATTACCTCCATAAGATCCCATCTCCTCTCCGAGAGCCACGACAAAATGGAGAAGCAACCCAAGGATGCAAAAAGCCCTTTATGCATCAACAAGCCCATCAGGCGTTTTACAGGCCAAGCTACAAGGCAGAGAAATAGGTCCCACTCCACACGCACACAATTATAGTGCTTTGTTCTTTTATCTTTCTTTAAGGACTAAAATGCAAGCGAACACACACACACACACACACACACACACACACAAAGACAATGTTGCTGTTATTTAACCTTTTTATCACAAATATGAATGTGTTAAATATTTATATAGAAATATCACGCAATATAACACAATAGAGAGTCATACAATAGATAAAATATTAATACAAATAGCCTTATTTAAGCTATCGATTTGGCTTTATCAGAAAATTCCAAGCTGTAGTTATTCCAGAATGGAAATAATCTATGTAAATATCATTAAACAAAACCCTGTCGCGTTTTTTACATTCTTACGTATCGCACATCTGTGTAAAATATGAGTTTGCAGGGGCCACATATACGGCGCGGCTCAGATCACTGTGATTTACAAATGAGGGGCACCACTTCAAAAACATGCTTAACCACACAACTCCACTGCCTTTCCAAATTCTCAGCTTCATGATGTTTACCTTGTGTAAATGATGAGCCTTCTGGGTCCCGAGCGCAGGGAATTACAGTCGCCCTGGGAGACTTGGCAGTCTGATTCTCAGGGAGGATGGGCTCATATAGTCTCTTTAGGAGGGTATATTACTGTTAGTGCACTGTGAGAGATCTGCCATACTTGGTCTCGTTCGGCTAATTTAGCACATTGGGCCTGTAGAGGTCGTATTCATTATCACGCACCGCAGCAATCGTGCTGCTAAAACTGGAATATACATCGACTTGTCTCCCTGATGTACGCAACACAAGTCTAAACTGTGTGCAAGGCCATGTTTTAATGCTTTGCGTTTATCAACAAAAACAACGCTGGCAAATTTTTGCAGCACAAACCCTTTTCGGCATGCTTTTGTAGTCTAATTAAATAATAAACATGTGGGATATATGGCCCTTGTGATACAGCATGGCTGTAGTTTGCTGAGTGTGGCTTTTGGCACTAATGCATTTCTCCTTTATTTAACCACCTTAAGCACCACAAAATCTCCCCTTAATTACGTCTTAAAAATGGCATCAAAATTGTTTAACGAAATCCATTCACATGTACATGAAGTCAATGGCATTCTAACCTTTATTCCCAAATGGTTTTATAATTATTTGGCGAGTTTCCACGGAGCTGCTTTTAAAAGAAAGATACAGGTCAGCAGTTAAATAAATAAATCTCTCTTCATGAAAATGACTAATGACCAGAAAATGCTAAACTAAGGAGTTATACCCACGAAAACCTACCGGCCCCCTTTAACATAGAGCTGTAATTCAGCAAGGGCTGAAATGTTGCTTACTCCAGGACCTTTTCTCTGGAGCAAAGACACAAATTATTACCATCACATACACACAGGCACCCGGCCCAGTCCTGAGAACGCAGTGGGCACTGTGTCACGGAGAGGGCAGACTCCCCCAAGCCCTGCCAATTAATCTTCCCCTCCCTCCTGTGCTGGCATTTGGATAACTTTTTATTTATTTATTTACCGCTTACACTTGCCAGTTGGAACAATTAACAAAAATAAGTTGCGATTTATCTGGTGCCAGCGATCCATTTCCCTTAACCTCACCTGTGTTGGGCCTGTTTGAAAGCACTTCAAACATTACGATTATGGGGTTAAACTACTTCTCTACTATCTCTCTCCTACTAAGATCTGGAGCTGTAAAAAAAAGTTCAACGGCACCCTCTAACTCTCCCTACACGCTGCGCTTGAGGCTCGAACCTATTAAAGCTAGTTACTCTTTAACTGAACCAAGTGTAGTTGTGTATAATCAAAACATTAGCTGCTCTAGAGTCCGCCTACAGCACCAAAAAACAACGACAACTGGCTTATCTTTTCCGTAATGTACTCTGTCTGCAGTCCGCCCACCTCGTGTCCTTGGTCTGACGTTCGTACAAGTGAAAAAAAAAACTACAGTCATTAAACGGCAAGCATAAATTCTGAATGAGTCTGTTAGTTTATACACATTAGCGCCGTTCTGAAGGACTGGGGTAAATATAAAAGCCATGAGCTATAGCTGGAAACACTATGAGGGAAAGGTGAGACTTGGGAATAACCTTTGAATTTGAATATGCTGTAATGAAATACACATGATACAGTGTTTACTAGCTACTGTCCGAAAATAAAGCAGTCTGTGGGATACAATTGTCTTTTTTTTTTTCTGGTACTTTAAGCACAAATAATGGTAACATCAATATATTCACATGCAAAGACAGAAGGTTAGAAAAGTGAGGCTATCTGGGTGTGTGTGTGTCTGTGTGTGTGTGCAACAGAGGTAAGTTGTCTTTCTAAAAGCAAAATAATGATTTATCTAACTAGTCCTTTGGTGTACCCAGACTCCGAAGCACCTTTGAACCAGATATAATTAATGCCAAATGTAAAACACACTCGTTTATTTCCAATATGGGTAGTTTTGGAGCCGAAGTTTCACATATGGTTCTCCGTTTAATCCCATCTGGTTCTGGAGTTCATATATAAACAGGACACTTTGGGGAACAGAGATTAATTCAGCTTTGGAATGCCATTGAAAACGTGTTAGTCGTTTCCCTCGGCCAGGTCAGGCAAAGCAAAAACAAGTTAAGCGTTCATTTGGTTGTGCGGCATTAACGTGGGCATTATTATACAATGGACCCTAACTCGCTCTTATGTTTTAAATTACAGATCGCTCTCAAATAAAACTATTAATCTTTTTTTTTTTTTGGTGTGCGTCTCTGAATGTTTTACAGTCCTGTTACACTTATTAGCTTCTGGCAGCTCCAAAACTTTTAAATGAAAGCCAAATTGCTTTGGTCATGAGAAAGGAAATTAAAGATCACTCCAGGGGGAAGAATTTCACTGTGAGATCCTCCCAAGGTAGAGTTTCATAACCTTCTGCATGCCTGCTAAAGATGTCACTGCATACAGGGCTGAGTGTGGTACTGATATAAAAAGACGGTCCGTAATGGGAACAACATGTTCATTTTAGGGAGATTAGGCAGCTGGCATGTTTTACATTGGGAGACGAGGTGCTCCAGGTTTGGGTTTGAGGGAGGAGGTATGCGGCATGGGAGTGGGCTAAATGGTGCACTCACCCGATTCGATCGGAGGGCAGTCCTTGACGAAGAAAATATCAGCAAGGTTGTCTTCGTCAGGAGGAAGGCCCTGCTGGTGCAGCTGCAACTTGCGGAGGCCTTCGCTCTGCTGGTGATTGACCGACCGGAGGTGCTGCAGCAGGTTCAGCTTGGCTCGGCTGGAGTAGTCACACAACGCGCAGTAGTAGTAGCAGGACTCCAAGTTACATGCACTCTCTTGTTTTTGCAAGTGCTGCAGGAGGGGAGGAGGTGCGAGCACAGATGGAAAGAGAGGGAAAGAGAGAGAGAGAGAAAGAGAGAAGGGGAAAAAGTCATTAGGGGCTATACACTTCACATGAAATTACAGCCGTCGTTTGTTTCATGGGCTGAGACAGCACCTACATGAAACAGATACTTCCTTTCCCCCGTAATAATCTCCTGACATGAAATGCATTCCTTCCAGCTTTGTCCCAAACATAAATACTGATAACAAAGAGAGATTGTCAAAGCTGAGTGCTTTAGAGGGGCTGCCCGATGAGGAAAGACAGATGAGGGAGAGCGAGCGAGGTGCAGAGGGAGAGACGAGCCAACGTGTCTCCGCCTGGCATCGCGTAATCCAGGACATACGAGTAATTTACCACGACAAAAAGTCCAGCTTAACTTTAAGTCTGGACTGTGCAACTTTAGAAAGGGATAAGGGGATGAAAGAAGATGGGATCTGGTGGTGGTAATTTACTATCTGTGCAGCGATAAAGATAAGAAAACAAATCTACCAGGCCCTGGCTATAAAACTACCACAGGTCTGCGGCTTCATTCGGTAAGAGAGAGGCACCTCAGCTTCCATCCTGCTCATGAAGGCCTATGGAGGACTGTGAAACAGTTTAATTTAATACTGACACACACACACAAATTCAGGTTTATGTAGTCTAAATATTCACATGCTGCATTGTGTGTGTATAGAGAGGCGTATCAAAGGCCTGTGGTGCATTAGCAGATGAGAGTGGAAGCTAAACCCCCGCGTGGCCCCTCTCTCTCTTCTCCACTGACACAAAGACCCCTGTTACTCAGAGGGCTCGCAAAATCGCTAGCCCGACGTCCCGGGGCTATCGTGTTTTCCAGTCCAGCTACCAAAATGTATCACCGCCCTGCCCAATGGGCTATCTTGAACAATGATATAAAATTCCTTCCTTGATTTGCGTTGTTCACTAGCTTGTAGGGGTAAAACGGATGGTAGTTGATCGTTTGCATGTGTTTCTAAGTCTTACCGATTTAAACATTCAAGTGTTTTAAACCGTTCACGCACATTCGGAGCTGCGCGCACTCATTCAAAGCCCGCACAAAGAGCCAGAATTGATTCCTCTTTCGCGTATCTTTGCATCTGAATGAACACATACACACAAAATTATCTCAAAATAACTGTCTCGGCAAGTATTCTCGTAAACACCGTCAGTTATGTCTTAAGTGAACGTAAACAGTTGAGAAAGAAATCTCAAGTGCACCATTATTGGATCCGTGCATTCGGTCTTAAAGGGGCAGCAGTCTTTAAATACCTGCTGTTCCATAAGCGCCACCTGCTGTCAGAGAGGGACATTTGCGTCTCATTCACAAAGCTAAAATCAAACCATTCTGTTTT